TAACTAATCAACATAACACACATAAAAACTGATTCACATGATCTTCGTAAATGCCATCGGGCATCAAAGAACAAATTACTATCAAGGTTATTTTTTGATACCACTGGACAAATTGAAATTCTATCCAGTCTCGTTTGTTCATCAAATGTAATCAAATATCACATTCTTCGAAACTGTGTCCGTGAATTGGTACAATACAAAACGATTGTCCGGTCAACGCTAAACGAAGATAAATTGACTATTAGTCTCGACATGGTGACGTAATAAGGATCCCAGTAATTTCCGTGAAATCGCTTTTCCTCACAACGACAAGATCGCATCCAAGGTTGAGTATCGTGTTTCATAAGCCGTTATCCACAAACATCGTGGGCACTCCGTCTTTGGACTTTTAGGCTAACAGCACCTAATTTTAAATCTACATTATTCACACCTGGCACGATCGCAAAGGAAGAACCAAATATAATAATGAATCACTCAGTCATAATGAAATCAAACTGCACACTGGTCATCTAAGAGGAAATTGTGACAGGAATCCCTGGACCTTGGCTCGAAGCCATGACAGTGGTAATGAAAGAGAATAGTAGTTATATTATATTGTCGTGCAACGAAAAAGTTGTTATATTAAGCTTACTATTATATATTATGATGACTGCACATCTCTTTATTTTCTATTTCACAATAAAAATAAGATAACTATAACAAAAGTTTGGTTACTGGTTTGTCCTTGTATCCAGCAGGAACGTATCAAGAAAGATTATCTTTACGTTACATCTATAATGTTTTTAAAATGTAAATACATTGTAGTTACTTTATAAGTCGCAGAGTTACAGTTAAATTGGGATACATTCCATTTTCAAGGGCAATTTTTTTTTTTAATTTTAATTGATAGGTGTGACGATCTCTATCTTATTGAAGATAGCATCGATCCAAGGTCCTTTTTAAATATGGTCACTATCAACAATGTCATCACAGAAATAATGAACGTGTAACAGCTACTAAGTACTTGATATCAATCTTAATAAATCTTTCTCACATATACTTACACATATATACATTAATTTATTTCGCGTAAATAATACTGAAAAGATTATTTACCAATTTTTATACGGTATCTTAAATTGAAGTAAATACTTAGAGTTCTTATTGTGCGCAAAACATTCTGCGTCATCGAAAGTAAATAAGTAGGTAGTACCATCAATCCGTGTTTATATTGTTGTCTTTGATAGCGACTAACAGTTCTACGGTTAATAATTTTTAGTAATTTGCATTCATTGATGACCAGTTCATACCGGTCAACATAAACAGGTTATGCAGTATGGGCCTACTGGTGTAATAACTTCTCCATATATTGTCATGATTTGTGTCTGCCTACTCTTTGTTGCAACCTTACAAATTTTCGTTAGATATTTCATGATTTGACTTCTATCTGATATGATCTGGACACGTCTTTATCTATTCCGAATGTAAACAATAAAGAAAATTCAAACGTCCCAATGTTCTGTTTGTCGATTCGAAGCTACAAGTCAGTTAAAAACAACTTTTGGATCATTTAATTCCAATTATTACGCAATTAACTCACATAAGACCCACCGATTAGGGAATTAAATGTAATTAAGACTCGAATCTTTATAATTGAATTCAATAAATCCGATTCGAGATGTTGACAAAAAACAAAAGTCAAAAGTAACGAGCCCGGCGTAAAAAAAAACACTTAAAAACATGCACATCTATTTTTAAAAGTTACGTGGGTGTCTTCGCCCATAATTAGCTTCAAGTAAAAAGACACGAATATATTATTATGTAGGTAGGTACCGACCGGCGGAAACGTTGCGTAAAATAGCGGGATAAGTGGATAGTGATGTGGGAAAACGTACAAGTACAGTTATTGTTTGAAAACGGCGCTACTGACGGCACCAATGATGCAACAAGTTAAATGTTACGTAGCCCCGGGTGTTATTGGTTTATCAATTTCTATTTAAGGCCATAGATAATCGCTTTACTACAATCATGTAACTTGTCAGTAATGAAACTTCATGGGAAATTCTTGTTCGTGTTAGCCAGTGCTTGTGTTTGTAAATCGTTATGCTATTTTTACATAACAGCTTTTTCATCACCACACTCTGTCCAACTATCAATGTAGGATGTACTTATGGATGTCCTACTGGATGTACTAATCGGAGCTTTATAAGGATATAATAAAAAGACAATTGAACCTTTTTCACGCTCTATGAGGCTAGTATAAAAAATTAAAATTTCTTGAAACTAATAGCCTATTGCATGCTGATGGTACTATATTATGGCATATGTGATATTCTATATCAATGGCATAAACTATTGCATTATGAAGTTTCATCAAAATAATAAGATATTGCACTAGTTTTTTTGTGAAAAATATAACAAAAATCTATTCATGAATCAATGAAATCATCTTTACATCCTACTATAATTTTTCTAAATTTAGTGATTCAAAATTTTTGTTCACTACAATAATTTAGTTTTTAACAGTTGTAAAATGAAAATAGTTGGGAGGCCACACATTTTGTTGGTGCTTTGTATGGAGGTTGAAGGCAAAAGCAGTCCATTGGCAGTGCACAAGAATGTATACTTGACTCAATACCAGGTCAACAGTTTATTTTTAATAAACCTTGTTCTTATTCTCAATAATGGATGAAAGCTCATGATATTTTCTGTTTTATTTTGATAGCACTTTTAGTGTTTATTTATTTTGATTATTTATAAAATTTGTTACCTATGTAATTTTATAAACAACATAACAAACTTTATTTATTTCCTACTGATATTTCTCAATTTTGTCCCGTATTTGGCAAATTCGGCATTTCAAAGCAGAACGACATTAGACCGTGAGAACACTAGGAAGAAAAAGAAGAAGAAGAAGAATTTTTAAATAAAAGATTATAGCGCACAATTAATGAAAACTGTAATTATTTTCATTAATGAAATTCATTAAATAAACTCATATTTTAACAAAATTGTCCTCAATAACTTTGAATGTCTGATTAGTATCCTGGTATTATATTATTAGTGGTATTAGATATTTATTCCATGTAATTTTATGTCATTTCAAAAAATTATATTATATTGTTTAACTTTGATGTGTCTAACGCGATCTGAGTCACATAAAAAAAATGACATTCTTATTTAGATTTACAATTTCACACTGGTTTTATTTTATTTTAAAAGAACCTAATTAAGGAAAATCACACAATACAGCAAAAATTTAAAATCCATAATAAATTTAATATTCCTTTAAATCATCTTTAAATAACAGATTGATGACTTATACTTAATTACATTCTCCTTTAAAAATTATTCCTACCCCTAATTACCTTCTAATTTAAATATTACATTCAAAGCTGACTTTACTGGTAGTAGGATGTCTTGTGAACGCGCACATGTTACCAACAACCTGCGTATTACTATTGTAAAGCAGTAATGCATTTTGGTTTGAAGGGTAGGTCAGCCATGGTACTGTACTAACTGAGATCTTAGAGCTCATGTCTCATGGTGGGTGGCAGCATTTATGTTTTTGATGTCTATGATATACTGTAACCACCAGAGCATAAAAAAAATCGGCCAGTGTGAATTCGACCCATTATAAAAGTTTGGGTCAGATGTGTAGCCTTTTAAACTTTTATCTCTTATGTTAATGTAGACAGTAGCATTCACTTTGTCTATGAGCTCTGGAACTAGTTATAACCAGGTGGACCTTACCCAGTTAATGCAAAAAAGAGTAGTAATAATAAGAAATACTACCCACTTTGAGCATTAAAACTTGTAATTAGACCTAATTATTTTCTTAGTGAAATTACATTTGTTAATATAAAAATATTTGCAAACATGAGCAGCAGTTACAGGTGCATTCTACTACATGTTATACATAATGTAATTAAAAAAAATATTGTAAAATTAATCATGAGATGGAAAATCTATTATACCAAAAAAGGATATTCAAAGTATAGTATATTTGCTTATCTTGCCAGTTTGTTTATAAAACAAAATAATAATATACATGTTGGTCTGAGAATTTGTGAATGGCTAGTTTACCACAAGATTCAGTTTGAGTTCCAGTAAGGTTAAGTATGAAAATGAGGGCTATTATACTCATATTGAGCAATGTAGCTAAGCCAGTGTTCAAACCTTTCATGAAAGGTATAGTTCCTCTATTGAAATACATACTTATATGATGAAGGAATAATGTAACAGATATATATATTTTAAGCCCACACAAGTAGGTACCACCTACCAGTCTATTATCGCTGCAAAGTAGTAATTTGTTCCAATTTGAAAACATAGACACATTACACTATACAACTGAGCCTTAGACCTCATGACCCAAGATAGGGTCGGCATTTAAATTATGTTATCTATGGGATCCATTAATCACTAAAAAGTAGGTAAACTGTGAGCTTATTCACAGGTCTATGCAATGAAAAAGATTAAGTATCTTTATTATTTTAGAAGTTACTTGGGATGTAAGTGAATTTGATTCTGTTTCTGAAGTGTGTTTTTGATATGACACAGGATAATGTTTGCTTGGAATGTACAAATGCAGAACATTTATAAAAACCTCCAAGAAGTTTTTATGGGGATACAATTAAAGTATTTAATGGTATTATAAAAGGGTGTTTCTAATACTAAAAAGAAATTAAAATATATAGGTGTCTCTCTTTTATATACAGAACTGTCCAGAAAATCATCAATGACATTTACGAACGCGATTGCGATGTGATTCTTTCACTCAAAATATATTTGCTAATTACCGGAATTCCGTGTTCTTAATACATCATGTAATAGTTTTCATTACAGCTGGTATTATCCGACATGTTATACGACATATATAAATACTACGAGCAATTTTAATTCTAATTTGGAGATATTTTTCAACGCCTACCAATCGAAGAAAGTCAATGACAAATTAACAATTACAAAATTTTCTTAGATAAAAATGTATTCGAAGTATAGGATAGTTTATCACTTACCTTTTTGTAATCTGATGAAAGCTAAGAATGAAGTTCCACAAAATTAAAAAATACAGATGGCACCATTAAAATTAGCATACAGGCTTTTCTTTTCATGAAAAGGAACGTATGCCTTCTTTGACAATTATTACTTTAAACACAAAAATTAACATTAAAAAACAATAATAACTCGATTTTGAATATCTGAAGATCCTAAAAAGCATGAACATTAATCCTTTGAGTGCTAACTATGTCTTACAGATTCTGGAAATTTTGTACCAATTTATGAAAGAACGAAGGTCAACTTAATTCTACATTTTTAGTCAAAATCAACCATAGATTTTACATAAGTCAACTGTCATTTGTCAAATTATCAAAGACTTTTGGTCTATATACCTACCTACCGAAGTATCGAAGGTATCCAGATAGTTTACAAATTAACATAATATTCTTGTTTGTAGTTTGAAAGAAAAAGGCCATTATATCTTCAAAAATGTTTTTAATAAAAAGCTATCTTAAATCAATATGCCAAATCTGTCATCAACACCGGACACGGTAGAATAAAGCACAAACTCTAGCCCGTGTGCAGTGTCCAAAATTCGGTCCTTCGGTCTTTGGTGTACAACATCAAGTATGACGGGGTGCTCAAGTGCATCTTTTTTTGGGTCGGCTTAATGAAAATGTTGAAAACCTAGCGAATAATTTTCACAAATCGGCCTGTTTCGCTACTATCGATGTGGCTCTAATTGTTAGAATGACAAAACTGGATCTCGACAACCACAGAGGGAACCACATTGAAATTGAGATACTAACAATACTAACAATTGATTTTGACCTCATTCTGGATAGCCGTTGGACCTTTCGCATCACTTAGTAGATCTGATCCTCTGAAAGTGGGGGACAACATTCCCCTGGTAGTCGGACGGCAAAGACGGAGACGACCGCTGATCCGGCCTCCGATAGAAGTAAGGTGGAGCAAATTTCCACGACAAATGTTTCACCTTGCTGTGAAAAGTAGTTTGCAGAATACTTAGTTAGGTATTAATACCAATTGATAGCCGTTGGGTCGTGAGATACACATTTTTTTATAATTAAAATACGAGTATGTTTATTTTACTTTTTTACCATTATTTCTATTAGACGTAACAAACTTCTATCTATAACAAGTAAGTTTATGGACTGAAATCGAAAATTTAAAATAATCCTCTTTTCTCCAACCAAAACTTGACAGCCAGCTTCGGAATTAGCACGTTAACAATTAACATCACAGTAATCGACTGGATCTCCGACATTTTAATTTACTTGAAGAAATCTAAACGTTTTATCATTGTTGAGTGTGTGAAATGTCATTGAAAAATTTCGACTCTCTTTGTGAATGTAGCTCTTTAACAGAATGCCAAGTGAGTTTCCATTTATCGTGTCTGTCTCTATTATTTTTAATCATCTTGTATTAACAGAAGCTAGATATATTTACCTATACATAGGAAAATTGGTACGAGTACATTACCTTTGAAAACGTTTTGATAAGACAAAATGCTTGTGCGGTCGAAGAAATCCCATCAGAAGCATTCTTATCATCAAAAATGTTATCCTCAATAAAAGTTTCTGTTGTTGTAATATTTTTTAAATTATTATTTCATGAAAAATAGAAATTTGAAAAAAATATACGTAAAAAAGAAATTTCAAATTTGATGAAAATTGTAAATAGAGGAGCAATACAACCGGTCGCGTACAGAACCGTCTGATGGAATCTAATTCAGTTTTAGCGCACAGATAACTTTGTATAAAATACGAAAATAGAAAGAAAATGCTGCATAATGCTTTTCCTTAATAGACTGTTTCTAAAAATCAGCTCATAAAAAACCGAATTTCGGTTTTACCATGTCAAAAAGCAATATCAAGTAAAATTATATAGCTTTTTGAGAGCGGTTCTTCTTCGTTTTTGCTCTCATTGAATTAAACGATTAATTTCTAATTCTCCTAAAAACTATTACTACAATATAGAATGTTTAATATTATAATAATAGTCGTAAGTTATGGTTTCGTGTAAGCTTAAAATTTTAGCCGCGAGCATACCATTTGAGAATACCAGAATACCATTTGAGAATAATGAAAATAACAGATTGCATAATGTAGAAAAATGAGTAATTGAAGTTGGCCTAGAATTGCAAACACCTTTTCTCTTTCCTTTGATGCTGTAAACGGCGACTAAAGAAAAATAGCTGCCACATTCTCTGAGTTATACACTCATACAGCTAATTGATATTTACTAGGGGTGCGCAATATATTGTAAGCTGCGTGAGTAGATACAACCATCCTGCTAATTCTTGCCTCGAAGCAATCACGTAGTTCGGTTTGAAGAGTTAAAAGCCGCTGAACAATATAATTTATACTTCGACCTCATTGCTCACAGTGGATGATGGTATTTTCTTTCTGATATCCGTGGGCTACGGTAAACATTTAAACCAGGTGGACCGTGAGTTCGTTCGCTCATCTATCCAAAACAACAAAAGTATGTGCAATCTTTAATATCATTCACTGGTTTGTGGTGTACTTAATTAATCTAAGTCTGTGAATAGAATAGATTTGAGTCAACAGTCAAAGACTAAAGCAAAATCAAAAATCAATTTCAACTAATCTATGGTAAAAGTACCAAAAAAAATCTATGGTAAAGGTGCTTTGATTGAGGTTGGATTGTTCTGAAAAATAAGATCTTAAACGCTTCCTAGTTCGTACAGAACTATACTAGTACGATAATTTATTTACCAAAAAAAATCGTTTTTCAAATTAAATCCATATTGTCTATAACATGCTTATGGATTTGACCGATGAATTAGAATTAAGCGATAGCGGAATGGAGTCTTTGACTACGAGCAAAGATGATACCCCTGAAAGAAGGCCTGAACAATATTTCATAACCCCCTCGGTATGTAGAAACCTAATTATAAATAAATATTATTAAGATTGTGTTATATACTTTTACGACTATGTATTTTTCAGGTGGGGTCATCGCCCACTGCTGGATCTCCTAGTGGACCTTTGAAAGAGTACGACGATGTACGTAATTACCATTTAAATAATTTATTTTCCAAATACATACATATAAGGCCATTTAAAACAATGTGACTAGTTCTGGTTTTTTAAATAACAAATTATAAACTTTACCTTTCACTGTTTAATATAGGAACCAGATGAAACTCTTTCTGAAAGATTGTGGGGTCTGACCGAAATGTTCCCAGAGTGTGTAAGGAATGGCACATACACAGTTACAACAAATACATGGTAAGTTACAAGTTAAAACTCTAAAAATTTAACTTCAAGGCCATGGTATTTATTTTGAAATCCATTGTAAAATTTAAATCTGTCTGCAAATATTTTCTTTGAATACTGAGTGATTAATTACCTACAAAGTAAACTACTATAATAACTGTTTTAAGTATGAATGCGGAAGACTTTAGAAGAAGAAAGATAAAATGGATGGCTTGCGGGAAAAATGATATGTGTAAGAACACTTACACGTATCATCTCTCCAAGATGGTATATGATAGAGGGTTATGAAAAGAGAAAACATGCTGCACCACCCCAGGTGACTGGGAGAAGGACAGAATGATGAAAATAAACTAAAGAGGCTTATATTATAACAAAACCTAGACACAATAAATCTATAGCCAGATATTGCTGGAGCTATTTATGTTGAAATGAATAAAACCACACAATGTGTACTGTGAAAGAAAGAGACCTACAATAGTTTTGGTTACTATGCTATGATTAGAAAGATAGAAAACAAAACGTGTTTCACTTTTTTCTCTTAAATGTCATAACATACTTGTTGAATACCAATTAATTTTTTTAGAGAGAGAGAGAATATACTTTATTACACCAAAACACAACATTCAAAAAACAATCAACAAGCAGATATGTTTGTACAATTTTAATCAAGCTATTTCTAAATGTTTGGTACTCTTGAGATTCATTTTGGTGACAGTTAATTTATCTACCTGATTCAATTTTGAATTGGACATGAAGTAACTGTTGGAATTGGCCTGATGCTACCTTGGTTTTTTATGTAGATGCATTAATGGAAATTATAGTCTCTTTGACAGTAGTTTATTCCATCAGACTGTCTGAAATGGTTGTGACAGGCACTGGATAATTTTAGCACATTTGAAATAATTAATTAGTGAAAAGAGAGTAAAATCCTATATTCTTTAGTGTTCTTTATACACACATGTATTAATGTTTTTCTAACTATTGGCTAATTAAAGACATCAATATTTTTGTATCCCAGTATTCTAAGCATTTTATAAGCCATAATAATATTTTCTAGTAAACACAAGCCTTATTCTTTTGAGTACACAAACTGGTGATCATTTGCAGACCTCCCAGGCTTAAATGCTTTTTGTTATTAGGACATGTTATTCCAGAATACAATTTCCTCTATAATATGCTATAATTTTAGGATACAACCCAAATATCAGTATTTATTGTCTTTAGTTTTCATGACTTGAAATAAAATTGAACTTACGTTTACCCTTTAATCTTATGCTTTTGTTAATATATCCTGATTTTTAGTTGTCTATGAAAACTGTAAAATGTCTGAAACATAACCTAAGTAATAAAAATGATGTATGATGTTTATTCAAATGCTATGAAAATTTTACAGGTCTGGTATCAAAGGCCTGTATGGTCTATCACGCTCAGTAATGTGGGTTGTTGCCAGTTCATCGGTAATATTGTTTGCTCCTGTCATATTTGAGGTAGAAAGAGCTCAAGTAGCCGAAATGGAAAAGTCACAACAAAAACAGGTAAAATTCACTGCACACATAACCCACCATTTAAATTAACAATAGCCGTGACAAAATACCTTTTCCTTTAAGATTGTGAGTTCAAATCAAATATTTTTGTTACCTCATTTTGAAAAAAGGAAAAAAAAAAACAAGATGTGTTGAGGTCACTAATATTATGACCAATTAATTTTAGCTATCATTATATTTTTATATTATCACTAAGTTGTTGAAACAACCAAGATGTGATAACTTTGGTTGTTTTCTGTAAATTAAAGTACATAAGATGCTTGTCTTTAGTGTGTATTTGGAATCTTATCAAGTACAATTAACTAATAGGTAAAATTTTATTGTGCTATTTGCTGAGAGAAAACATTTTCTGCCCTTTTTTTATTAGATGCGATTTTCTTATTGTACCTTTGCCTATGGAGGCACATGGACACATGGGTACTACAATGTGTATCCCACCATGGCACATGAGGTCGAAGACTCAATTATTTTGTAAAAACATTTCCCCCAGTATTCAAACCTGAATGCATGTGAATCTTTTATCATGAAATGAAACTTTTAGGGCAGAAATAATATAGCACATATTGAAATGTTTCATGTATTTGAAGCTGTTCCTTCATCATGGAAGTTAACATAACAACAGAAATCAGAAATCTTCAAACGCTTGAGGGAGGCTACACATAATGCTAAGGCTGGCTGGTACTTTGCACACAGAGTGAGTCTGGCTGTCCAACATAATACAGCCAGTATCTTGGGAACTGCCTCCTTCAAGTGCATTGGAAGATTTGTTCTACTGTATAATTGATTTATGTTAAAAAATATATACATACATAACAACATATCTATAATTAAATGACTTAGGATTCATTTATGCCCATCAACTGTCTTATTTCTACATTATATCTAAATTGACAAGCAATTTTCATTTCCAGGTGTTATTAGGGACAAACACAGCTATGGCAGGACCCATGCCTGCGATGCCACCAATGCCACGATAAATTACGTTTATCTCACAGAATAAGCAATCATTTACATATTGACTTATCTCATGTTAAACACAATAATGTTGTTCAGCATTCATATCAAAATAAAGTGATTTTAGAATTTTAATGAATAATATGCATTAGAAAAATAAAAGTTAACTAAACTTTTTGTATTATTTGGTATTAAATAAATCAACTAATATTCAAACAATGCCCATAATATCACATATGTAAGGATTTATGTGTGATTTTTTTCACTTTGTTTTTATTCATACAGAAATACCAAATGAATATATTCCTTTTATTCTCTCATGAACTTTGGGTCACATTAATTTATGAATGCTGAATGACTAATTTGCATGCTTTAATCAATAATTTTAGTGTATTAGTCTAAATAAATATGTACCTATAAAATTCTAGTTCATTTCATTTGACAAAATAAGTACTGATGTTTAATTAAATGCATTTAATCTATTGTATTGAATTTGTTTTCAGTTCTTGCTGTTTAATTTCTATAATTCTATATGTAGGAATATCGAATATTTGCATTCTCCTGTGTTTTATGTTAATGGGTGTTGATAATAATAAACTATATGTAGGAGTGTCACTGGTCTTTAAATAGATATTGCTTAATCACAGGTTATTATTTTGTGAATGTAGATAATGCTTTGTTATTGAAATAGAAGTTGTTACTAGTTGTATTTGTTTTATTTCATTAAATCTGAATGTGTTCCACCTTTAATATGTAACAGAAAATAAGTGAACGAAGTTCAACGTTTTTTTAAACTTAATAGTAAATGTATAAATTACATAGTTACACTGTTATGGAATGAGGTTGGATTTCTTTTAACACGTTTCCGCAAAATAGTTTTGAAAACAATTAAGCAGTCTGCCTACTGTTGCAGCTTGACTACCCTGGTATAGCTTAAGTTTCAAGGGTGGAGCCTAATTGATCCGTTGTTAATAATTAAGATAAAATGCTAAGATTACAAATGCCTGCACTTAGTGACTTGCTTTGGCCTAACAGAAAAAAGAAACGGGCATCAAGCAATTTAAAATTTATACTACTCGTTTGACGCTACTATACTGGGGTTAAAATTCTCTAGCGAATGTCAACTTTAGACGAATGACTTTCATGAAGAAATAATATTTTTTTGTACTTGCTGACTGTAAGATATATCCTCCTAAACCTGTATTAATAGAACAGTGAGCTTGTTTGTCACGATCTCGATCTTATGCATCGCAGTCATTCGTTCCTGCCTAAAATCTGGAAGAGCCATTTTGAAATTAAATTCAGACAGCCTTTTTCCTCTAAGTGGGTTGCGGGATTCATGTGTACAAGTGTATTCTGGTACGTACTGGGCAACTGGTAGATCATGATCTCGATTGATGATACAGCTAGCACTGACTAAAATGAAAAGTAGAAAAGGTCAGTCATTGAGCAATCCTAATATTTACTCAAAATTTAAGCTGAATATTTGTTTATCCCTTGGTCATTTTTATTTGACATCAAAATAATTTTATTATGTCAGAATTATTATTGACATTTTCGAGTAAAAAACTAAAATAACTTGTGTAATGTAATCAGTAGAAAAAATTGTAAACATGGCAAATACAGGCTTATTGCCGTTTGTGCGGGGAGTTGATTTCACGTGTAACGATTTCAGCGTCAGTAGCTATGATTGAATAACATTTATATAAAATGATATCATCTCATAACCTATATCTACACTTCTCAAACAATAAGTATTGTTGCAGGACGATAAATTTCCTGATGCTATTCGCTATATGACTGGATTGCAATGGTTGAGACTCGACAAGACAAACCTTTGTGATATACCTGAAGAACTAGGAAAGTTAATGAAATTGGTGAGAAATAATCTTTTTAGGTCAACCCTATCAGAAAATTGTACGATTCAATTTACTGTCGACGTCCTAAAGATAAATAAGTCATAAAGCATGTAAAGTAAGATAGACTGACAGAAAGTAAGATAAACTAAGATAGAAGACACTAAGAAGATTAAAAAAAAACAAATTCATCTTTTTTTTTAATACAGTACTTAAGTAACTTCTAAATTACAAATAAATTTCCCCAGGAAAACCTTTCCTTGAAAAAGAACAATCTAGAAAAGTTATTTGGTGAACTCACAGAGTTAAAGTGTTTGAGATCTCTGAATGTCAGGCACAACAAGGTGAAGACTTCTGGGATCCCGGCTGAACTTTTCCATCTAGAAGAACTCACTACCTTAGATCTGTCACATAATAGGTTAAAGGAAGTCCCTGAGGGGTTGGAGAAAGCTAAATCTTTACTTGTATTGAACCTCAGCCATAACAGGTAAGAAATTAAAATAGCTATTTTGCAAGTTTATTTCCAAGTAAACCTTGTTGCTCAAAATACAGATATATCTTCAATATTGACACAAACATTAAAAAAAATGTAATGTAAATCATTAATTTTGGTCAAGATTTAATAAAATGCTTTTGATCATTGTGATTTACTATAAACCAAAAATCTTCCGAAAAAAAGATTATAAAATCTGTTTTATAGAGACAGTTTTTTGTAATGCACTAGCAAAGCTGTGGAGATAGCTCATGTGGTATCTGAATGAGCAGCAGTGGCCAACAAATGTGCTCTAAACGTCTGGTCAGTAACTCCAAAGGCAATCAGCTACTTGAGTTGGCTTACAGATTTCCTGGAGAAACTGGGGTGGTAAAGAATTCCTTTTGTTGTGTAAAGTAGCTGAAATTAAATGATATACAATGTGTTAATAATAATAATGAAATATTCAGATAAAATACCTGTTCACCATATTATAAGAAGAAGCATAAATAAGTCTTTAGTCATAACATTTCATTATCTCTTTCTGTAGAAAATACAGTCTCATGCAAGTGACTTTATATACTGCAATGTGTGCCTTTTCATTAAAATTAAAAATAAATGGAAATTATGTATTGTTCAACAGATTTATATATTTTTTAGTTTAATCCTGATCAGAAATTGTCAAAAATCGTGAAAAATCACTAGAACAAATAATAAATAAATTATCAGAAACAAATCACATACTGTCACCTGACTTCAAGCTAGGATTCCCATACTATACATACCCATACATATCCAATACATACTTATATACACTTAATTAAATAAATAAATAAATATATGTATAAATTAGCCCAGCAGTCGGGTGTTAACTAACTACTGCTAGCTACTGCTAACTAACTAGCTAACTACTACTATAACTTCAAGACATGAACATAAAAATAGCAATTGTCTGTTTTCTGATAAAGGTTTATTTTAAGTTATTCTTATGTTATGTTAGAGATAGTACTAATTATATTATGCATTTTTAGGTCCTAACTACTGATACTTTATGTTTTTGTTACAGAATTGAAACAATCCCACCAACTTTATTTGTCCAACTAACTGACTTATTATTTCTGGATCTATCTCATAATCTTTTGGAGACCCTACCCCCTCAGACTAGAAGGTTGGCAAACCTGCAGACTTTGATACTCAATGATAATCCACTTGGAGTTTTCCAGTTGAGGTAAAAATAAATTATCATGCAATAATAAAAATGGAACTTATGATCTTCTGCTTGCTGCTTCACTCATATGGACTATTCCTTACGGTTTATTAAGTTTTTACATTTTCTATCATTTCTAAATTAATATAAATGTATTACGAAATTTTGACAGGCAATTACCTTCACTTCAAAGTCTAGAGACACTGCATATGCGAAACACACAAAGAACTCTTGCCAATTTGCCGACATCATTGGAAACACTCTCAAATCTTTCCGATGTGGACTTATCAAAGAATGCATTAACGAAAATACCAGATGCCTTGTACACGTTGTTGAGTCTCAAAAGACTGAATCTTAGTGATAATGAAATCTCGGAATTGTCTGCAGGTGAGATCTTATAAAATTTTAATAAAATTTGCTAACTTTCATAATAGAAATGATCAAGAAACTTACACTAATAACTCAATAAGTAATTTGTAAAAAAGTACCGTATTTCCATATATTTAACATTCTTTTTTGCAGTTTTTATCAATGTAATAGAAAGAGTTAGTTTCAATCAGCTGTTAGGAAACAGTTGTCTTTTAACGAAAAAAAAATTTGTTTTGTTACATTCTTAATGATAAAATATTATACATATGATGTGACGATGCAGCGTATAATATGTTATATATTATTCTGGTACATATGATAAAATATCTCACTTTCTATGTTTTGTCACGGTCCATGAGCATGACCAGCCATCTGTATTATTCTAGTCATTTGAAACTTCACAATATAATATTAATTACACAACCTCAGTTAGATATATTAAGGTACACAGTCTGCCTATATCTCAGTCTGAGTGTTTATCTAGATAGTATACAACATAAATGTAGATCATTATATCCAAAGGAGTTCCAGTAAAAGTGATTTCATTGACGAGGCAGGTATTAATTAGCACTTGTTTAGTTTATTGGAGTGGTCGACAACTTTGTCATGGGCATGTCAAAAGAGCTAAATATATATAGTATTCAATTCAAACTTATTCAAAGAGTAATTATTTAACATATATTTTTATAGCTTTGCATTTCAAAAATGTTTACTCGTACTCTTATAGTCAAGATAGTATATTCCATGCCTGGATTGAACATTTCGCGGAAGAGCCGTGGCCTAGGTGTCAGAGCCGCGGCTAGCCGACCTTTAGTTTATTGTAATTTTTTTTTTAATTATATCATTATTAAATAAAGTTTCATTTTTAAAGCGCTTTAATAAGCTTGTTCTGATTGTTTGTAACGGAATCTTTGAATGTATTTTCACCGACTTCCAAAACGTCCGATTAACTTGAAAATTAGAACATGTCTCAAGGACTGATGAAAAAAAAAAATTTAGAACTCCACCGCACCAAATCACTCTAATGTCTTGACCGGTGCCCATACGATGAAAAAAACAGTAAATTAATTGTTGGTTATTGGTAATTAATTAATTGTTGCTAGTCAAGCATGCTTTTTTAAATAATTAAACTGTGTATTATTTAAACGCAGCAATGGATACATGGCAGAAACTAGAGAGCTTAAATTTGTCAAGAAACAATCTGACATCACTTCCGGCGTCTTTATGTAAGCTGCAGAACTTAAGGAGGTTACATGTAGACGACAATAAACTTGACTTTGAAGGCATACCATCTGGAATTGGGAAACTTGGCGCTTTGGAAGTATTCTCAGCTGCTAATAATTTACTGGAGATGATACCGGAAGGATTGTGTAGGTGAGCATTTTTCAGCCGCATCTTGCTTTAGGTATTTGTATACTTTGAGACTGAGAACTTCCCAGCGATATAACGGTAATAATTTAGAATTACTTCAATTTGCATGCTGCTAATCTAAATAATGCATACAAGTTAAGAAAGTAATTTGGGCTGTTGTGTCCTTAGTAAATAAATCTCAACAACAGAACCCAGAAGGTCGTATCTATTTTTGCCAAAAAAAATATTCTTTTTTTATTGGCCTTGTAGGCAGACGAGCACACGGCCTTCAGGTGGTGAGTGCTTACCGTCGCTCATGGATTTTAGCAATGCCAGGGGCAGAGCCAAGCCGCTGCCTACCGTTTAATACTCTCCACAAGCCTCGTTTGAAGAAGGACATGTCATTTATACGGCATTGTTTCTAGTTTACAAATAAAATATACGAAAACCGCTCAACATTTGTAAATTTAAAATCAAAGATGTCCACCATTTTATTTTTCATGTTTATAAATACATTGTTTGTCTTTTCAACGACAGATGTGGCGCGCTAAAAAAGTTGAATCTGAGTTGCAATAAGCTGATCACTCTCCCCGACGCCGTTCACCTTCTAAGCGATCTGGAAAGTCTTCAGCTTCACGGAAACCCTGATCTCGTAATGCCTCCGAAGCCCGTCGAAAGACCAAGGGGAGCTGGCTTGCAGTATTACAACATTGACTTCTCGTTGCAAGCTCAGCTTCAACTGGCCGGGGCTGCGTCAGCTGAAAGCACAACAACCAGCAGTAAGAAATCATCCGTGTAATTTAATAAGTCAAAAGCCAACTATACCTAAGAAATAAAGCTCTTGCTTAAACAAAACTGCTTCAAATTTATATTAGTATTAATTTTGGTTGAAAGTATAGACAAACAAATTAATTACCGTTCTTGCCTGTTTTTTTTTTATAAATTGCCGTATAGGCAGACTAGCATACGGCCCACCTGATGGTGAGTGGTTACCGTCGCTCATGGACGTCAGCAATGCCAGGGGCAAAGCCAAGCCGCTGCTTACCGTGCTTGTCTTTAGTGGTTGGTTTGGTCATTGTCTTAAAATCTCAATTGTACTGTATGAACCTTCATAAGTATTAACTAATGTTTCAACTCGAAATACATTTTTTATCAATCGATATACGATAATCGATTTACGAAACAAAGCAACCAATTTAGCGGTAGCTATCATAGAATGACATATGGGTCGTCGGTTTACCGAGTAATTTAAACCGCTTCGATCGAAAATGTACCTTTTCTCGGAATAAATAGTATATTATATCTTTAACGCATTGACTGCCGTGTAGGTCACCGGTGCCTTACGCGGCGCACTGAAGTAATTCTATCGATTTCGATCTTTTAACTAATGCGCCGGAATATCTAATAGACTTCGGGAAAGACGAATTCGCAGATACTGAGAGTGAATCTATTTCTAAAAGACCGAAAAAGACATAGACATAGCAAACAAAAGAAGGCAAAGTTAGGCCTTAACAGAAATCAACATGATAACTTTAGTGCGCAGCGTAGGGCGCCGGTGATCTACATGGCAGTCAACGTGTTTAACTATAATGAGTAATAGCTACCTATCACGAACGTGTAATGTCGACACAGGCGTTAAGTCGGATCCGATAGCTCGCAAGCTCCGCCTACGTCGCGGCCGGCCCGAGCCCGAGCAGAAGGACTCGGCGCTGATCCTGCGCGGCATGCAGGAGCAAGCCAACACGCAGCACGGCGACAACGTGCTCGACCAACGACACAGCGAACTCAAGTCAGTACGACCTGTGTGCTTAGTGCGAGTTTCCTAACGTTCTCGATAACGTAAAAGTTAAGGCAATTTTGTATGCAATTGGAACAGCGCCCCTAGCGGCAAACGTACGCAAACGATCCCATTCCATACAAATATGAGCTAACTTTCACGCTATCGAGAACGTTAAAAAACTCGCACTAAGCACACTGATCTAATTTAGTCTAAAAATACATCTATTATCATCTAACATGTCTTTTTTTTGCTTAGATGTATGGAGCTCACAGCCCAGCTGATGTTAAGTGGTTACTGGAGCCCATAGACATTACAACGGCTGCCCCACCCTTCCAACACATTACTGCTTCATGGCAGAAATAGGCAGGGTGGTGGTACCTACTCGTGCGGACTCACAAGAGGTCCTACCACGAGTAACCATGTCTGTTCGAATCCCGCAGGCAAGTACCAATTTTTTTGATAAAATACGTACTTAACTCATGTTCACGATTGATTTCCACGATCAACGAATTACAAGGTGTAATAAAAAACCCGCAAAAAATTTAATTGGCATTTTTATCCCTTCCTAAGCTGATAGCCGTTAGAGGGCTATGCCAACTAAAAGAGTAGGTGAGCTCACGGGGCTCTAACTTGAGGACGCTGCTAACACTAGCCCTAGCAAGAGCAGTGCTTCGCAGAAAGTACCACCGGAGCGGAAACGCAACTGAAAAGATCCGGCGACAAACTCAGTGGGCTGTGTCTGTTGGTTAATTTACTCGCCGAACTCTTTGTCGCAAGCGACGGGTGGCGTGTTTAGGGCGACTGTTTACCATTCGATCCGCAGGGTCGAATATGATTTTTGCCTAATTACTAACAGTAATTATGACAGTAGTGGGGAGAGCGATAGTTGCGTGTGCAAACGATTGCTTTATTGAATATGTGTGCATTTGGTTTGTAGACCAAAACGCTGGGACGAAAGCTTAGAGAAGCCCCCGCTAGACTATTCGGAGTTCTTCGACGAAGACACGGGTCAAACTCCTGGACTACAGGTGTGGGAGATCGAGAACTTCATACCGGCTCCTGTTGATGAGGTTTGAAGTTATTCAATTTGATACTCGTTTTAATCAATAATCTCCCGCAAATCTCGTTTAAATATATATTAAATACCCAAATGCTGGACAAAGAAATCTGTCTTCGCACGAATGTTTGCTTGATTATCGAATCGATGACCTTCGGCCCAGCAGCCAGGGGCGCTAATGTCTGTGTGTGTTAGTTAAAAAAATAATGAACACAGTGCCTCCTGTTATTATATGGGATCAATGGAAATAATGAAAATATTTAAAAAATAATAATATTTCCGTTGAAAAAGTAATCGATTTTCCTCTTTTTTGTATTACAAATGATTCCTTAAAATTTAAATTTCGTAAATCCTAAAACAATAATTATTTTTCCTAAATTTTCACGGCCAATATTACTATTAGTTTTTCGGACAGATCGTGTTAAAAGTCCTTCGTATACAAATTTATATACTGAACACCTGCACACACATGCACAGGTCGCTCACGGGAAATTCTTCGAAGGTGATTGCTACATCGTGCTGAAGACAGCCGTGGAAGAGCAAGGACAGCTGTCATGGGACATACACTTTTGGATCGGATCCAAAGCTACTGTAAGTGGAATTCATTCAATGATTATGAAGTTTCATTAATGCTGTACTATTTTGTTGTATTGGCCTGTCAATAGCCGAGGCTAAAAAGACCGCTGCGGACAGGCAGACGTGGCGAAGCATAGTGCAACGAGTGATTGACGCTTCAAGCTAGACACGACCTCTTTTTCCCTACCTAAGCTCGTAATACCTTTTTTTTTTTTTTTCTCTGGCCGAGGGCCGAACCTCCTACGAGGTCCCCGCGCCTGGGGGCGTGTATGTGACGCGGGGTATGTGAGACTCAACGATCTGCAGGTGTTGAGAGCAGATCGCGGGCCCAAGGATTTTAGGGCCCACCCACTAAACGACTCCCCTGCACTCTTACACCCGACGTCCGATCTCCGTCCGGGGTCAGAACCCGTTCAGAGTAGGGGGGTTCCCGCGGTCAACACTACAACCAGACACGCGGCGCCACCCCGAGGANATTTTAGGGCCCACCCACTAAACGACTCCCCTGCACTCTTACACCCGACGTCCGATCTCCGTCCGGGGTCAGAACCCGTTCAGAGTAGGGGGGTTCCCGCGGTCAACACTACAACCAGACACGCGGCGCCACCCCGAGGACGCCCGACCGACGGGTCGTCGAGGCGATAGTCGACGACCAACGACGTCAGTCTCCGCGGTACGGCGGCGCCGCTGGTGTTCCGGGATACCCGGCTGGGCCAGAACCAGCCTGCCGGGTCGGAACGCGATACATCGCCGACCGGGTTGCTCTTCAACAGTATGTTCGGCGACGACAGCGACGACGAAAATGCGGACCGCATCGCAGTCCGCAGCCGCCGAAGCGCCGTCCCGTCCTCCTGGTGCCAGCGCGCTAGAGTGACGGTAGCGTGCGGCGCAGTCTCAACCCCCTTAGGTCGCCCCGTGACCATCACCGGGAGGAGACTCCCTCCTCATAAGCTCGTAATACCTAAGCTAAGGGTTCTCGTGTCGTGCCGCTTTATCGAAGTGGGGACCTTCAGCAATGAGCGATTCGGAAGATTTTGTACTTTGTCATCAATGTAAAGCGTACGTTGTTAGCGGACTTTTTGGCGGGAACGCGAGGATTGAAGTTGTGTGATTTGTTTTATTTTGTCTATTTAGTGTTTCTTCAGGTTTAAATGTGTAATAATGGTGGTTTCATAACTGCTTAGTATCTGTAAAAGTGCACAAATGTGGGAAAATTAAACAAAGCCGCTGAACGTAACTTCTCGGGATCCTCCAAAAAGTCCACTGAGAAAGTCTCAGTAAATTACCACCATTTATTGAGATTATATTTCATACTATATCATCTCATTTCATTTCATTTCACTTCATGTTATTATTTTTCATAAAAATAAGATTATAAATTAAAATTAGGCTTGACCTAAAGGTCTTAGTTACCAGGTCATAAAATCCCTTTAAAAAAAACCTTGTTCGCAGTTAGACAAGGGGGCCTGCGCCGCAATGCACGCCGTTAACCTACGCAACCTGCTGGGAGCCAAGCGCACGCGGCGCCACGAGCAGGGCGACGAGAGCCCCGAGTTCATGGCGCTGTTCCCCACCCCGCCGGTCTACATCCAGGGCAGCCACACTCCGTCAGGGTTCTTCACGGTCGACGACCCGGTAACTGATCTAAAATAACATGTTTGGTAGGCAGTGAGCTGACTGTGCCCCTGGCATTGCTGGTGTCCATGGGCGATGGTAACCCTATACCATGATGGGCCCTGATGCTCGTCAGTCTACAGGAGCAATAAAACACATTTCTACTATTTGTAACTGGGTTGGGCTGGCAGTACCTGCACTTTGGACTCGCTGTTTGATCACAACCCTATTTTGATTTAGTCGATTTTAGAGACTTAATGAAATCCAATTTTTGGATTGTAATGCTTAATAGATATCTGCTCGATCATTTCTAGGATGAAGATTTCTTTTAAAATTAATATTTAAAAAAAAAATTTATGTATATACATACGTAAATTACTTTAAAATAAAAGGCACATACTAACGTTATTTGTATACAAGCTGCGAACAACAACGTACGGATAGTCGGTCTATCGAGCAGACGCCTTCCTGAAAGGTATTTATTCTGTAGCCTCCTATTTGTATTTCAATAAAAAAGTCGAAATCAAACAGATCCCAAGAAAGAGACTACCACATTTATAATAAAATTTATAATAATTATTACTTTACATATAACCAACGGACGCGACAGACGTCGTGTACCACATGCCTTCAATACCAAAATCTAAACTATTCTCGAATTCACTAGAACACAAAATCACAGTCTACTGAGTTTCTCGCCCTATCTTTTCACTGGGACGCGATTCGGATCCGGTGGTAGATTTTGCTAAGCACTGCTCTTGCTAGGGCTAGGGTTAGGACTAGGATTAAACTTGCTAAGGAATAGTCCCTTCACCTGCCAGCGAATAGGTAGAGAAAGAAAATTAACAACAAAAGTTTCGTCAAGATCAGTCTAACCATTTACGGTACAGTCACATAGAATTATACACATAATATGTATATTAAGACAATAACATTGTATAAATGTTTAAGTTACATTGCGCGCAGTTTAGAATTACGATTGTATTTATGAGTTAGTTGTTACTCAGTACTCGGACAGTGTGCTTAGTGCGAGCTTTTTAACGTTCTCGATAGCGTAAAAGTTAGCTCATATTTGTATGGAAAGGGATCGTTTGCCTACGTTTGCCGCTAGGGGCGCTGTTCCAACTGCATACAAAATCGGGCTAACTTCTACGCTATCGAGAACGTTAAAAAACTCGCACTAAGCACACAAGATGTATTGGTGGTAGGACCTCTTGTGAGTCCGCGCGGGTAGGTATCACCGCCCTGCCTATTTCTGCCGTGAAGCAGTAATGCGTTTCGGTTTGAAGGGTAGGGCAGCTGTTGTAACTATACTGAGATCTTAGAACTTATATCTCAAGCTGGGTGGCGCATTTACGTTGTAGATGTCTATGGTCTCCAGTAACCACTTAACACCGGGTGGGCTTAACTCGTCCACACATCTAAGCAATATAAAAAAAATAATTGTGCAGCACTACGTAACGCGCTTGTACCGAGTCCACGGCGCCGGCAACAGCATCCACCTGGAGCCGGTCGCGGTGCGCGCCGCCTCGCTCGACCCGAGATACGTCTTCGTGCTCGACACCGGACTCATAATTTATCTCTGGTAAGGAAACTTGCACAGAACGGGACTTTTTGGCGGGAACGCGAGGAGTGAAGTTGTGTGATTTGTTTTATTTTGTCCATTTTTTTATTTTATTTTTATTGCCTTTGTAGGCAGACGAGCATACGGCCCACCTGATGGTGAGTGGTTACCGTCGCCCATGGACTTCAGCAATGCCAAGGGCAAAGCCAAGCCGCTGCCTACCACTGCTATTTAGTGTGTCTTCAGGTTTAAATGTGTAATAACGGTGGTTTATTAACGGTTTAATATCTGTGAACGTGCACAACTGTGGGAAAATGAAAGAAAGCCGCTGAACGTAGCTTTCTAGGGTTCTATCAAAAGTTAACTGAAAAAAAAAGAGTAATTAACCACCATTTTACTGAAACTTTTCCTTTCATCCCATCTCAACTCGTTTCGTTTAATTCCATCCCAATTGATTTAAGTCTCGAGTTAATCAACTTATTATTCCGCTTCATGTCATTTTTCAACAACAAATAAGACTTGGCTTAAAGGTCTCGTCACCAGGATATAAATTTTAATCTTTTTTTTCATCAAATTATTGTAGAGTTTATATAACAGCCTGGCCACGGGACATTCGCCGATGCGAATATTCGCGCGGTGCGAACGGCGAAGCGTCTAGCGACTAAAACAAGCGCATAGAAATGTACCTAACAAGCCACGCGCACCGGCGACCGGCGAAGCGACCGGCGAAATGTACCGAGCGAATCGCGCGATGCGGCGGGCGAGCAAAACAAATGCATGAATACGGACGGCGCGAGCCACGGAGTCGAGCGGTAGTCGCGGCGAATAGTGCAGTGATTAAATGAGTTTAGTTGTTTTCGCCGCGAAAAATTAACGCCGAAATTTTTATATTTTTTATTTATTTTTTATTTTATATTTTTAAAGTCGTCGTGGCCTAACGGACGTCCGGTGCAATCGTGTTGAGCGATGCACCGGTGTTCGAATATCAGGCGGGTACCAATTTTTGTAATGAAATACGTACTCAACAACACTCAACGTTCACGATTGATTTCCACGGTGAAGGAATAACATCGTGTGATAAAAATGAAATCTTCAAAATAATAATTTGCGTAATTACTGGTGGTAGGACCTCTTGTGAGTCTACACGGGTGGGTACTACCACCCTGCCTATTTCTGCCGTGAAGTAGTAATGCGTTTCGGTTTGAAGGGTGAGGCAGCCATTATAACTATACTTGAGACCTTAGAACTTATATCTCAAGGTGGGTGGCGCATTTACGTTGTGGATGTCTATGGGCTCCAGTAACCACTTAACACAAGGTGGGCTGTGAGCTCGTCCACCCATCTAAGCAATAAAAAAATAAAATAGCTGAAATACTAGCTAGACCAGCTATTTGGAAGTCTAGCCACCCAAAGTATTTCTCGTACTTCTTGTGGAATTCTCCATCTATAGGTATACTCCGATTCTTATTCAAATCATGTACTTCACAATCTTTTCCAAATAATAGGTCCTGAACCAAAAAACTATTAATTTGTAAGCAATATCGAGATAATTTCGAAATAGACATTTCGCTGTCGGACTTCCTTACTAGTCGCGGCGGCGAACGTGAGTACCCGTGGCCTGCAAACGGTGCTGCGCGAATGGTCGCCTCGCCCACCGCTTCGCTGTTCGCACCGCCGATCCCCGTGGCCAGGCCGTAAATCTATTTGAAATGCATTCACAGCTAATCACAGCTTTGACAAAATAAATTGTTAACATAAAAGTTTCTTAGTATCAATTTGGTTAGTGTATATTTCGTTGGTGTCAGGTACGGTAAGAAAGCTAAGAACACCCTCAAGTCCAAAGCTCGTTTGTTTGCGGAGAAGATAAACAAAGAGGAGAGGAAGAACAAAGCGGAGCTGATCGCGGAACCGCCGGGGAAGGAACCCAAAAGTTTCTGGCAGATATTGGGGCACGAAGAGGATGTGCCTTTTGTACCCGAGGTAACGATCTTTCATAAAATCCAGACAATTATAAATATTAAGATTTTCTAAAATATGGTTGTTTTTGTATTTGGTGTTAAGTTGTTACTGGAGCTCATAGACACATACAACGTAAATTCCGCCACCCATCTTGAGATATGAGTTATAAAGTCTCAGTATAGTTACCACGGCAGCCCCACTCTTCAAACCGAAATGCATTACTGCTTCACGGCCGAAATAGGGGGGGTGGTGATACCCACGGAATAGATAAATAAGGTTGGAATGGTAATGTAGGCGGGGCAAGCGTGCCACAGTTATGTTTATACAATCATAACTCGACCGATTCTTTCATTCACCGCGTTTAGTGCGCTTCGGACTACTTTGGCGAACAGATCTCCGCTTTATAGTGCCGTGTTGTGCAATTATAACTTGTAAAACAAAAAATCAGACCTCAAGTATAGAGCGAGGAGGTATATCTTTCGATCGGTAAGTCGAAATTACCATTTAATTACAATATTATTTGTCTAAAACATAAAAATATACTGAGCATTATGAAATTCCAAACATTAACAATATTATTGCAGCAAGTTATAAATAGCATACATTGCGCGATGTGTACTCNAAAAAAAAAAAAAAAAAAAACCACATGCCTGCCCCTTGATTTCTGCCAATATCCCACAACCAGACAGACCTAAAGGATTACTTTTACCTTTATTCTAACCCTACTTTTAATAGTACTTTCATATTGGATTCTATAGAACATGAATTTATAATGGAAAAGTCACTAGATTCGGGTCGACCGTATTACAAATATGTAGTTAAAAAAAGTCGTAGCCTGTTTTTCCGCTTACTTTTTCTAAGCCACGTTTTCACTAATAGCGATAAAGATTTGTGCACGCAGTCCGTAAATATTTTGGAAGAAATAGCTGATCTATGCAGTCTTATCTTGTTTCAATAAATCTGTTTTCGTACGCTTACTGGGCTATCGTTTGCCGAATCTTAAGTAATAGTGCTGGCCAACCGGTGCCTAAAGTGCCTAATATAAAATCCCAAATAAAATCAGTAAGTACATTTAATGAGCAATACCCGTTTGTCCCAATATAAAGTCTGGAACTACATTTCATTGAACGTTATGAACGTACGTGCGGTCACGCGTGACTTAGAGACCACGTTAAATATTGTCCTAGCTGAGAGATAGAAGGTTTCAATTTGCAATGCGATACGAGGCGACTGGATTAAAATTATTTCGATACAATACTACTGGCGACGTGTATCACAAATGTTCGATTGACTTGAAAGTTTGCAGACGTGTCAGCAAGAACAAAACAATCATTTTAATACTTTGGCTTAAAGTCCTAAGCAGGATACCCAAGACAAAAATTATAATTATAATTTTACATTCCAGATAAATATTAGCGAGCAGAAATATGTAATGTGCCGAAAATTAATAATTTAATTGTAAAAAATCCCCCACACGGGTTGCTTCAAATGCTACAAATAGCTACCTACATAAAAATAAAGAAAAAAGCAACTGAGGTTATTGAGATATTTATTTTATACTAGCTGACCCGGCAAACTTCGTAGTACCTCAATCGATAATGTATAAAATAAACTTAAAACAAACAAAAGGAATCCGTCCGACGGGGGACACATCAAAGGAAAAACAAAATTGTTATGTTTATTTAATTCCGAACATTTTCATATTTATCTAACCTTTTAAACCTTCTCTGGACCTCTACAAATAATTCAAGACCAAAATTAGCCAAATCGGTTCAGCCGTTCTCGAGTTTTAGCGAAACTAACGAACAGCAATTCATTTTTATATACATAGATTTATTTTTCTACTTCAGTTCATCTTGCTATCAAAGTGTATCGTTCCTTTATTAAGTCAATTTAGGCATTTAGGCTAAATGCCTAAATTATTATAGTCCAGCATCGTATCGCATCGTTTTGACGCACTTGCCGCTTATGGAACATAATGCCTTATTGCCTCTTACGTGATCTGACTCCACCAATATTGGGCGTTACAACCAATAGCCAAGTTGGGATATCAATGAAACAGATCGAAGCGGTACTTCAAGATTGACCAAGTCCAGCTTCGTGTGGAGTACTGCTCTGATCTCTGAGCTGGGGCAGGACTCCTTAATAGGAGAGGCTACCTGGAGACCCTGCTTTCATCCACATAATGTTTCATGAGATTATTTTTACCATGAACCATGTGACTCTGAAATGAATACCCCTCCTCGGTGTTTCCCAAGCGCTATGACATGTCCTTCTTTAGAGGAGGTTTTCCTAAGAGTTCATAGCAGTAGGCAGCAACATGGCTGTGATCCTAACATTGCTCACACCCATAAACGGCGATGACTATTTACAATCAGGTTTGCCCTATTATTATTAACTAATATTAACTTAATTTTTTTATCTTACAATCCGGAGCAATCAAGTATAAACGAGCGTCTTCATTATCGATAGAGACTAATAAGTACACGGGGCAGAAAAATTCCAACGAAGAAAATAATTAAGTTTCTTAATAATAAGTTAGTAAAAAGTTTTTTAATCTCAGCCCATAGTCAACACTTTTCTTCCATAGCCACATCCAACATCCTCATGTTGGCCCAACTTTCGATGTCTAGTTTGTATATTACCAACATTAGTAAATGTGTATTACGGGTCTTATAAATTCCGAGGAAAGCATGATTTATGTTTATTTCTACAATAACGTGAATTGGTGTACCGAGTATAATGTAAGAATATAAATTTGAGGTATTGTATATTGTGCCCTTTTTTTTTTTCATTACTTAGATGGGTGGACGAGCTCACAGCCCACCTGGTGTTAAGTGGTTACTGGAACCCATAGACATCTACGACGTAAATGCGCCACCCACCTTGAGATATAAGTTCTAAGGTCTCAAAGTATAGTTACGACGGCTGCCCTACTCTTCAAACCGAAACGCATTACTGCTTCACGGCAGAAATAGGCAGGGTGATGGTACCCACCCGCGCGGACTCACAAGAGGTCCTTCCACCAGTAAAACCATTTCGTAAATATTGTTCTTCTTTCTTGATAAACGCAACAGAGATGAACTGAATTTAGTATATTGGATTTAGTATTTAGTATATTGAACTACATATACTTCGTACATTAGAATTAGAATCAATTTAAATTTCGTTCATATTTTTAATGGAGGTTTGGTGGCATCAATTATTTGATTTATATCGATAATAAGTTATCCTGAGGTAGGTCGTGGACTCGATCACTCGTCTACGTCATCCATAAAAAATGTACCTACATAATATGAATACTCCTCTGTCAATCACCTACCGAGCTTGGTGGCTATGAATAAATAAATTTAACTTATTATGATACAAATTAAATAATAGGACATTAGCCATGAAGTTACGGTTTAAACTGGCCAATTTAAACGTAATTTATGTAAGTCTGGTAATAAATTCCAAATTCAAATTAATTTCAAATTTTAAGAATATGTAATTCAAATTGAACTAATTCCAACAATGACGAATTAAAGGCGATAGTGAAAGCTGAGTTAGCAGCAGCTTTCGACGTTAGCATCAAAACAATATTAGTCCGTTTGCGTCTAGTTGAAAAGATAACAATCTTAATAAGTGGGTGCCGCATGAACTGAACGATCGCCAGCCAACACGATGACGACGAGCCTCTCAAGGTTATCAGCAAAGGTAGGAAAAAAAAATTAAAAAAAAATATGTCGAGCTATTTATTTTACTCTCTTGTTGACAGCATTCGCACGTGCTCATTCACAAACCCATTCTCTCTAAATCACAAAGTATTCTTGTAGGTAATCCCTGATTGTTTTAGCTCCTTAAGTGTCTGTATAACTAAAAAAAAAGGAACTTACTCAATAGTCTACATATCTCAACGTTTCCTTCGAAGTTTAACGCTAATCATTCCTGTGCTGACGAGTTCATGAATCAATAACTAAACGCGACAGTAGGTCTCCTGACGCACGGAACTGTATTTTAAAAAAAAACAATGCCAACAATCTAATGATTTTGTATATAACATTAAAAAAAGAAAATCTTTTTCCTTTATCTATTATTTGGTATCTTATTTATAATTCTTAATTTGTATCACGTTTACCAGGTCTCGCACTAAACTTCAATAGCTTTAAACCAAAACCACGACCGATTGTGTGAACATAAAATGTCGCGAATATTCGTTGGAGTGCGCCGAGAATACCGCAATAATGCACATTTTATGGCTACTTACTCCAACACCGATGAATCTTTCCAGCTGCAGTTTTGTGCTACGCCACCGCATTCCGAAATAAACTTTACGACTGCACTATAAAGACTGATTTTCACGGGAGCACTGCTTTAAGTATCAAAATTAAGTGCCGATTTCATACTCTATTTAAACACGAATAGGCTACTTTCTGCTTAACGTTTATTTTGCTTGGGGTCTTTTGAGTTTTTGCAACGTTCACTAAAATTAATCTTGAATTTTAATATGCTGCTATCTTTGTTGTGACGTTGAGTACAAAATTGAAATATTAAATAAATTTTCAGGATTTTTTGAGCATTAATTTGTGCATTGAGCATATGCTTATTTTATATCTATAGTTGCACCAGACTGATTGTTTGAGTGTGAATTGAAATATAATTAAATACAACATTATTATGAGAATATATGAGATATCTCGTCCTGATTTATCGATCGCCTACCATTTACAATAGGAGCTTTAAATCGGTAGACAGGACAAAACTGTGTATAATAAAAGCAAAACCAGCAAATTAGCAAAACAACATCTTCGTTAACTCACTTAGTGAGATAATAACCTGATTAAACTAAAAAACTATACATACTATACATATTTATTTTGTTTTATGTACAATGTTATGTTAAAACTATATCTAATCCAAGATATTTCATCACCTTCAAAAATGTTATTGTTAATAAAAAAATTAAGGTTAGCATTTTAACAATCAAGGTTTTCGATTTCGGGAACTTCTAAATTAACTGTGTCGTGTGAATGTTCCAGAAAAATATTGAGTTTTGCGTGACCTATTCTGAATTTATGTTGACGCCGAATAGT